GCCTCTGTGGGACAGAAATCTGGTGAACTACTGGTACAGCAGAAAACAAAGTCAAAGATGCACTTGCAGGGACCTTGGCCAACAGGTTACCACCTTATGCCAGCTTTCCTCAAAAAAGAGTCACTGATTTAGTTTTGGTTTTATGTCTAGTTAGAACCACCAGTTTGAGCAACACTTGCAGAAAAATACTGAGAATCTAGGTCTCAAAGTCTTGTAAAATTTAAACTGCTAAACCAGAAGCACTTACCATGTGAAAGAACTTGAAAGCTACTGAGGATACCTCACTATATTTCAGCCTACTCAGCTATTTCAGTATGGTTGAAAATGTAACAAATTAATAAAAATCTTGATATGAAAGATAGAGCACTCAGGAAAAGCACAATTAGTGCACTTGAAACGAAAAACTACTGTAAAGAAACTAGTCCATCACAATGAGCTGAAACCAGGCATACAGTTAAAGGTAAGAAAGAGGAGAAATGAAATGAGTCTAACTGAAGTTTCTTTTACAAAAGAGACATTTTAAGATGAGAATCTCAAGCTCTGGTGCAACACAGTCATGTAATCTCTCATTTAAAAGTAACATAATTCACATCTAATCCTTGTGGCTACACCAAAAAGCTGTCAGAGTTATGATCTAGGTTCAGTATAAGGGTTAAAAAATCAGGAGAAAAAGAACCAAAAGTACATATAAAGTCTAGCCAATCAACCCAGAAATACCACTTTTGAACTTATCTTAGCATTTTGAGATAGGTTCATGATCTGAGTCTTATTAGTGGGTGAATTTGGATCAAAATCAGAGATAGAGTACTAAGCATCCCCTTAAACATAACAGTACTCCAGCTAGCCTTTTGATATAAAGACTTATGAATTCAGAAATTTAGTTTGTGGCACACAATTACTTGAGACTTATCCACAAGAGTGGGTTTGCTTCTGTATCACAGGAGGAGATATAGACAGACTCAGAGTTGCAGAAGGAAAGAAGGAAGCAAAGGATTCCCTATCTGTAACTACCCATGTTCAGGGAGCGTGCAAATATTCAGGGTAGCCCTTTTAAAGCCCATTCAGTTGGCTGGCTGAGCCAGACTGCTTGAGGGCTCATCAAACTCTTCTTGACTATTTTTACTTACAGACAACCCCTGTGAAACCATATATTTAATGTAACTATGCATAATATTGTAGAACTTCACAGGCTTTCACAGTGCATAAAATAAGCCTTCATTCTGCCATCACATTTTTTCCCTAGAACATCATGCTGAAATTTCTCTTTCTATTTAGTTAGGCTGCTTAAATAAATAAATCTCAGTCCCTCTAGCACTGTATCATTCATATTTAAATTGTTAGTCTATAGATAACTGTTTTCTGCCTTCTATACTTAATCCCTCTGCCTCTCTTACATATCCACTTGTGTTCAAGATTATTAAATGCTGGATGGAATTTATAGCCAGAGCAAAGCCCCATCTGTCATCCAAGTTTTGCTATACTTGGATTAACTCAGTAGCACTTGCATACTGACTTAAAGAAAAAAACTAATCTCAGTTCATGCCATACTAGAGTGCTTTTCACTGTGTAACAGTGGAGCAAATCTCTTCCACTGGAACATGAATCGCTTCTAATGCCATCCAGATTTTTATGTTTATTGAGTTTTTCTGACTAAGTCTGACCCTTGGGCTTGCCTTCATTAGGTGTTGCACTGTTCAGCTACTTGGCAGTACAGACTAACAAGCTTCAATTCACCTTCAACTCACTCAGGAGCCCTGCTTCCTGAGCTCTGGCAAGAAAGCTTTGGCTATTTAAAACATCACTGCCCTCACCTTACCGAAGTCCTGGACGTTACTGCTCTGGTGGCAGAGTGGCAGGGCACTGCCTCCTTGCCTGTCCTTGGCCACTGGTCTGCGCATTAACCAAGCAAGGGATCAGCTTTTGGGGACTGGCACAAGCTGCACCTGCTGGGGAGGCATCCCCCAACCATAAGGAGAGGCAGGCAGCCAGGTGGTTTGTTTTAACCCACAATCAGGACTCCTTACAGGGCTTTTACTCATGATGGCATAGGAGCATCAGAGAGCACTGACGAGGCTTCTGAAGGTAGAATGCAGTGCAGTTACCAGATTTTAGCTGTATGCTTCCTACAACAGGAAAAAGCTTGGCCAGCCTCATAGCACTCACACATACTACTTGAAAGCCCTTATCAATCTACCTTGGTTGTTTGGTTAACGTAGGCAGCTCTTGATCCTCATCTCCACAGTAGCTCACAGATCCACCAGAAAGCAGCGCTATTAGTCTCACAACACTTGCAAAAAGTAGATGCCTGCCTTTGGGTATGTCATTGTGTCCCTGGGACACATCTGAGTGTTGGAGAGCACTTGCAGAACAGATCACTTCAATACAGAGACAATGGATATATGTGAGAATTCAGTTACCCAGCTGCCAACCTGGGACTTCAGAAGAGGCTATGAATGTGGCGGTGAAATTGGACTAGATAAGATATGCAATTCTGGGTTTGTACTTTAATATTCAGGGACTTACAGGATGCCTATAAGTGTTGGCTTTGGACATTCAAGCAGGTAGAAACAGACTAACAATTCACTTTGTTCCTTCCATTTCCATTTCTGTATGGTGCTCTAAGTACTCCATTCTCTACACAAAACTGCTCTATCAGTTCATTAATTATGTGCATGTGAGAAAAAATTCCAAGGGAAAGGAAAGAAGAAAGAATAAATTCCACATTTAGGTCTGAAACTCAGGAGCAAGTGCAGGTGCTATACAGACACACGTTAGACATCCCAATCTCTCTGCCTCCAGAAAAGGTAACACGTTTACATTATTAGTTAGCATATGCTCACTAAAGCCATGGTTTGCGCTCACTCTTAGCTCTCACAGACATTAGTTCTGCAGCTGATCACCAGGCTGGAAATTCATCTTCTTTGCCTCATCCTCTTATTAGGTATTCACTTTTCTCTCTAGAAGCTGCTATAGGAGCTTATGATTATGAAAAGAAACCACCTCTCCCTGAGAGCAGGGGTCCTGATACTTGTATGGAGCCATGCTTTTGTACTTCGTCTGCAGTGAGAGGTGACACAGAAAGCAGAGCACTAATGTAGCATGTTCCCTCTCCTATACACACAGTGGATCACAGATCTTTCTACTGGATCTACTGGGCAGAAACCAGCAGGAGCGTGTGGAAAAACCAGTCCACTTCCTGAACAGCTTTGGAAAGCACCACAGTTGACCACTCCAAAGAAAACACACTGTGATCTCCACACATCCTTCTGCAGGCTTTGTTCCTGTGCTGTCCATTCTGTTTCTTTACCCTTCAAGTTATTCTTCTGTTCCTTCATCTTCTTAAATACGTCTCACCATGCTGAGTTATGGCATGATGTCAGTTCTGTGGCACGCATACTCCTTCATTCATGCTTCCCCAGTCTGTCACCTCATCTCTATTCAAAAGAGCTTAAGCTAGACCCAACTACGTAAGCAAACTCCTGGTCTTACCTGCCCTGATGCAGAGGTCTACTCATAAGGATGAGCTGTATCCAAACCATTCCAGCGTAGGCTCAAATCCTTTCTCAAAGTTCAGAGCTCTTGCTCATGAATCCCTCAAAGCAAAGCATCTTCTCTGCCCAATAAAATTTATGGTGCCACGTGGGGGAGCTTGTGCTGTGGCTAAAGCTCATCACTTCCAGATCGAGAGAAAAGGGCAGCTGAGCAGCATTAACAATTTCAGCTGCTGAAAACTCTCTTCTGCATAGGCTGTTTGAAAATCATGACATATGCATACATAGTGCACACTCACTTTAATAGATGTTCCTTTTCAAAATTATCTTAGGTGACAGTCATTGACTTTGCCTTGAAAAAGCAGCCAAACCCATAAGTCATAAACTGTAACTCATAAACCTGGCAACTTGCAGTTGCCCTTAGCCTGGTAGAATCATAGAATCATTTAGGTTGGAAAAGACTCTAAGATCACTGAGTCCATCCATTAACCCAGCACTGCCAAGTCCACCACCAAACCATGTCCCTAAGTGCCACACCAAATAAATAGTGAGCAAAATGATAGATCAAATAAAATGAAAATTCCTGTATTTTAAAGGGATAAGCGAAGCAAATGAGTAATGGGGATCAGTTCCAGATGTACACAGAGATAATTTATATAAACTACAACCAGCCTGGAGTTAACTTTAGTCCTTGCTGAGCTACGTTTGGCTGCAAAGCCATCTTGACAGCTGAAGTAAAAGCAAGTGAACAAGCAATCCAAAAGGCAAGGAATTTGTCTCATTGTATTTAGGAAATAGATGGACCTGAAGTCTGCTTGGAAACCCTTAAAATGACAACCATGTCTTAAGAGACAAAGAGAGTTAAAACTAAGCTCTCCAAGTCATTCAGAAAATCTGGTAGCCTGAGATGAAAAATGACATGGGGTTTTTGGTTGGGGGTTTTTTTTGGTGGGGGAGAGGAAAGGGTGTGGTTGGTTTTTGTTGTTGTTGTCGGTTTTGTCGGGTTTTTTTTTATCAAATAGTTCAAGAGTAGTTTGTAGGTATGAAGAAGCCTGGCCATATGGAAAAGGAAGACAGACGGGGGAAGTCCAGCCTTAAGCTTTACGCTCCAACCACCCCGCAGGGCAGTCAAAGACCTCTCACAAAGTATTACATTGCCTTGTACGCAAAATATCTCGCAGTTTGGATAATTTACATCACACAAAGCAGCGCACGGAAGGGACGCCGTGGGGCAGACGGGAGAGTCGGGCTCACCGTCGGCACGTTCCACATTCCCTGCGCGCCCAGCTGACGGTCGGGCGAGGGATAGGAAGGCGGCCGAGGGAAGAAGGCAGCCGAGGGAAGAAGGCGGGAAGCAGGAGGAACGGCCGCCACTCAGGGCCGCCCCGCATCCCCGGGGCCGAGCGGGGCGGGCTCTGCCCGCAGCCCCGGGTGCGGCCGCCGAGGCGGGGCGGGGCGGCCCCGGCCCCATAAGAGGCGCGGGGCGGCAGTAGCCGCGGGAGCATTGGGAGTCGCAGCGGGAGGGAGGAAAGGGAGGATGCAGGCGGCGCCCGGGGCCATGGCGGCCCGGCCCTTCAAGCTGAGGAAGAGTTTCGGTAGGGGCGGCGAGGGGTGCGGAAGGGCTGAGCGGGGGCGGAGGGGCCGCGCCCACGCGTAACTCTCCTCTCTTTTCCTCTCCTCTCCCGCACAGCCACCCGTCTGGAAGAAGTAGCAGGAATCCGGGCGAAGTTCCCAACAAAAATCCCGGTAAATCTCTCTTTTGTTTTCGGAGGTTTTTGCCAACATTCTAAAAAGTAGCGTTGGGAACCTCTCTCTAAAATGTGGGAGGGGAGGGGACGTTTTAGGTTTTGCTGACTATGGCTCTAATTAAAACAGGTAATTGTTGAGCGATACCATAAAGAGAAGTACCTTCCTCTCCTGGACAAAACCAAGTTTCTGGTTCCCGAGGAGCTGACCATGACACAGTTCATAACCATCATCAGGTGGGTAGCTGAGGCTGGCTGCTGCTCTCCAGCCAGGTGTTTCTTGGAGCTGTGCTGGGACATCTTGCTTGCCTTGGTAGGGAGGAGGATAAAGGTGTTCATAATGTAATGGCTTCCCTTTCTTGCAGCTTTTCAAAGAAAATGAACAGTTGTTTTCACAGGTGCATTTGGGGAAAAAATGGGGTCTATGCTTTTTTTGAATCCTAAAGTCTTCTGTCTTCTCACTAACTGTAGTGCATAAAGATTCCTGTTCTGCTTTCTTCCTGCTTGATGGATTTGGTACTGGGGATCTGTGATTTTGTTCTGCTTATGACTACCACTGCCTTGCTCTCTGGCTACATCTAGCTGAATGTGCTCAAGTTCAAAGCACTCCTACATGTGAGTGGTATGGAATGTGCTTCTAAATTGATTTTAATGAAATGTTACAGGGAAGAAGTCTCCCAAAATATTGTTATTTTCTGACAAAGTATGAAGGCTGTGTGCTTTCCAGCACATTTCTTAAAATATAGGAAAAGACCTTTCTAGATTATAATTTCTGTAAAAGATGCTTTTGGCTCTTGGACAATTTAGATCCTGAGCCTTGTATGTAATGTGTGTGACAAGGACTCTTCTTTTGAAGGTAGACTTTATAGTAAGTGTAACAGACTGCTGCTGGAATCCTTTACAAAATCTGTACTGTAGAAGCTTTTAGGTTCTACTTGAGCTTTTCCCTGGTAACTGTGAACTCAAAGCCCATGCTCAGTAGCACTCATAGTCTAACCATGTAAGCCTTTCCCCAGAGCACAAGCCTTTCGGCTTCCAAACATAGTTAACTTCCTGCTGATGGAGACATTAAACCATGAAATGACTTTATGCAGAATTTCTTGTGTATAGTTCATGCAAACTGCTTTGCTTAATGTATATTTCATAGACTGAAGTTGAAACCATAATACATTTGCTAATGCTTATTCCTTTATTTCTCCTCCCTTTTTCAATTAGAAGCAGGATGGCTCTAACTGCTACACAAGCTTTCTACCTGCTGGTGAACAACAAAAGCCTGGCCAGTATGTCTTTGACAATGGCAGAAGTGTACAGGGACTACAAAGATGAAGATGGCTTTGTATATATGACCTATGCTTCCCAGGAGATGTTTGGATGCTTTTTGACCACTGCTCAAGGGAAAACTATGGAATGCTTTCAGAAAACTTAAGGTTGGGTCCATGTGCTGCAGCAAAGCCGTTTGCTATGAATCATGCCTGTGACATGAACCTTGGAGATGCTCCTTCCACTGTGAGCTCTTGAGCTTTGTAGTGAGGAGTTATGACCCAAAAGCTGGCAGGACCAGCTTAAGGCAGAAAAGTGGTACACTCTTCTTAGGTAATAATTTGGATATATATTTTTATATTTCAAGACACTATGGGGATGTTTTTTTTTGAACTGCACCTCCACTTTTTTGCAATATCAATCTTTGTTGTGTAACTGATTTTTAAGGTGCCCTGGAAGCCAAGTCAAAAAGTAAAATAAAGAAGTTTTTTAAGTATTGAGTTGCATATTAGTTTTAATCTGGGGAAAGACTGTTAAAGTCTGTCTAGGAGAAGGTCTTATAATAATTCTGGGAATTTGAGTTCAGTGCATTTTAAATGAAGCACTGCTTGCGTAGCTACTCTGAATTTTTGAATGGAGTGTCAAAGCTTAAGTCGTGTCACCCACAAGCAAAACCATACCTATAAATGGTTTATTAAGCTGTGTATCTGAGCTGTGAGATTAAGCAGGACTGTATTAGTGCCAGAGCAGTATTAAGTTTAACACCTGGATAAACTACTATCAGTATTTACAGAAAACACTGTCTGTGATATAGATAACTACTTTTTTAAATAAGTAAACTGATGGCTAGTCAGCATAACATGCAGATAGCATGACTTGAAGAGTAATCAAGTGTTCAAGAGTCTGTTCTTGCACCTGAATGTTGCTGGTGTGGTTCCTGTAGATATTGTTATATCCATCCCCTACAGACACCTTCTAGTCAGGTACCCAAAGGACTTCAGTGAGCCTTCTTTCACAGATGGGTAGAGTTAAGTAATGCACCTTGTGCTTAAGAGATATTCCAGTATCTCTAGAAAATGTCAAATGTCATATACTAAGATGCTGATTCATTTCATGTACAGACTTGGTTCCTAAACATGTGTTAAAGGAACACTTGACATGAGTCTTAGTCTGAAGTATTTCTCAAGCTGTCTTTCCTGGTCCTCTCACACATGAGGAATGTATTGCAAAGCTGGAAGTGCTCTGATCATGCATGATCAACGTAAAACACCAGGTAATTTAAAAATCTATCACAGTGTGTGGTTAATTAATCAACCTCTGGCAGCTTTAGTTTAGGATTGGTCAAATTGCTACAATATGATGCAATTCTTCTGTTCAGTACTAAACTGATTTGCAGAATGATTAATATAGGAATTACTAGACTGCAAAGAAAAAAGCGTTGACAGTATTTAAATTATGCATAAGGAAGGAATGTATGTGTAAGCTTTTTGCAGCGGTTCTCTTGCATTAATAATCTCTTGAACTTGAAGCTCTGAGCAGACCTGGGTTTGAGCCTCCAAACCAGGGGATTTAGAGGAGGACCTGCCTTAGTGAAGGTGGTGGTTGCCAACTCATGTTTCATGAGCTGAGGAACAAAGAAATCATTGAACTGACCGACTCTGTGGAAAGGCTAAGGCTATGTCAGTATAGGTTATGAAAACGTGGGCTTTGGGATCCCAGAACCAGTTGCTTGCATATATTTCACTTATGCTTGTCATGGAAACAGTTTCCATTGCACAAATTGAACTCAAATAGTCATTTGTTACCAGCCCTCAGGGAGGCAGAGACACCTGTTTGGCAGGAGCCCCACACAGCAATGTTGAACAGCTGTGGGAACCTTGGGGTGGGGAGAGCAAGGGGAGTCTTGCTGTGTTCAAGCTCTCTTGCCAGTCTAGAGGTGGGCTATATTTTGCTTCATTGGCTCCTCTGTCTTCCTGTCTTGTGTGGTACTTGGTACATGAAGAGAGAAGGACTACAGATTCTTGGCTGGAGCAGTTTTGTCTGACAGCCAGCTTTCTTTGGTTTGTAATGCAGTGGCTAAGGTGTAAGTGTTGATCCCTGCAGCACTTGTTGACATTAGGCTATGGTGTCTACAGGTTGAGTCAGATCCAGCCAAAAAAGTTGCACAAGTAGAAGGTCAGTTAGAGGTAAAGAAGGTAAAGAGCATCATTATAAACCTGTTTAAACTGGCCTGCTGTACCTAGAGAGAAGTCCCGTGAACTAGGAAAGCTTCATCAATGGGTAATAGTAATAGACTTGCCCTTCTACCAGATTTTTAACCAAGTAGGGTATTAACCATCAAAGACAGTTTTTACGAAGTCTTAAAATAATAAACTAGGACTTATGTGCCCAAATATTTCTTTTTCCTGCTTGTGAAGTTGCTTTGGTGTGCTTAGAAGCTTTGAATTCAGCCTATTCTCTCCTGAAGTACAAGGAACAAGAATTAGAAAAGAAGCAAACAAAAGCTTTGCTCTGATTGACATGCAGCTGAGATAACTGCAGCTACTTCAATGTAGCTGCTGTTTGAAGAGCTAATGTTTGCTTGAGCAAATACCTACTGATAAGAGACAGGTACATGTTTTTGCAATAAAGGACACAATGCCACAGTAAACAAATTTTATAACCCAATGTACCCCTAATGTAAAAAGAGAAGGCAGAGATGCCATTTGTTTTTAAAAGTATCTTTATTTCTGAGTTATTATATGTACTTGTATTCATTAATAGAAAAGATATCCACCAGAGGAAAGAAAACATTTTGAGGATACCTCTGTTTCTTCCACAGACTACCAGCTAAATCCTGGAAGGTGCTCAGTGCTCTGGCTTCTAAGCCAGTACGTGGTCTGCTAAAGTAACTTGTTAGGTTGGGTCCACGGCACTGAGCCCCTTGTGAGACTAAACACTCTGCCCTGATTTCAAATATAAAACCAATCAAACTCAAAGGACACTGAATGTAAGTGTGGTATGAGGGCTGAAACTGCCCTTCCAGTTGAGGTAGAAGTTTGAGTATTGTGTAAAATACAGTACTGGCAGAGTTGTGAATTTATTATAGCCAAGTGGAATCATAAAGAAAAATCATTAAACTCTGTTTTCTTACAATGTTACCAAGGTACTAAAGAAGTTCTCATGTCAGAAACCACGGACGCTGCTGAAGTTAAGAGGGAAATACAAAAACATCTGAAATCTGAGGCTACAACCTTGCTGTGCTAAAAATGCTTTTTTAATGAAATGTGCCATTCATGTCTAATGTATGCCTTCACAGTGACTGCTCTGGGAACAGGATCATTTTCAAGACCTGAACAAATGTCACTCCTGAGGTACATGCTCTAGGCTGTGTGTGCTCTGAATGCTCTTAAGGGCAACTGGAGAAGAACACAGTACCATTTAAAAACAACAAAAAGAAGACCCATAAGCTCTCCTGGTCAAAAAAAAAAAAGTCTTACCAATGCATTTGAATTTCAAGTGAGTAGAAAGCAGTGTGCTTTTTTCCTATGCCTGCTAAGGTGAGAGATTCAGCTATTTGTATTTTCCTTAGATGTCCTATGGCCATCTACAGTCACAGTACAACTTGTGTACAATGCTTTATGGAGTGCAAATTGGCTTTTGTTGCTGCAAGGCAAACATCGTAACCTCAGCTTGGGCTTTAGCACATAAGCAACAGCAGGAGCTTTCCAAACTGTTTGGATTTAAAAATAACTTAACATTATGTATTGGTAGAATCAATAAATGAATGGGGATACTAATCTTCTTTTTGAACTATTGCAGGCAACAACTCTTGTGAATTTAGATGGGCTTTTTATTGTTTTCCCATGCTAACTATTTCCAGATGGTGGTAGTTTCAGGATAAAAATATTTTGAAAAGATACATGGTTAAACACACTTAAGTGACAGACTGTATCCTCCTCTGCAGAGGAGTTCCTTTGTTTGTGTAAGATACAGTAAATTAAAAAGGTAGAATGAAATGATAGGACAAAATATAACCTTCAGCATCAAATTGCCCTACTCTATTCCTCTTTCATGAAAGCCTGTGGAGAAACTATAGGGGGGAAAACAAAATGACCTAAGCATGAGAAAAATGGTTTTTAAAAAACAGCATTCTGACTTAGGGAAGTAAGGGGGGAAGAGAGGGATGGTTTCTATGAAAAAACCTCTAGGGGATCCCTGAAGGTGATTGAGAAATGCAATTTCATGTATGTTACAGTGCAGCCTATAAACAAAACTTGTAATGGCACACATGCTTCCCTCAAGGATCACTGTTCCAGAAAGCTTTCTAGACAAATCTTAAGATAGCATAGTTTTGAATCACTCTATTAAAAAAAAAAAAAGGCAACCAAACCCAGAATTCTGCCTGTGGGTATGTGGTTAGTTTATTTAGCTTTCCTAGGACACTTTGAAATCACTAGCTCTACCCACTTTTCTCCCCTGATGTTTTTAGATTGCATCTTAGTTGGCTACTACTGTTTCTGTATAGTCTACAACATGCAAAGGTGGTTGAGTCCTATAATAAATAGCAGTCTGACCCTACTTTAGAAGAACATGAATATAATTTTAATGAAGGTAGCTAATGCCCTTAAAGTTCCTCCCTGGAAAGTCATGACCACATCACTTTCTTTCTGTTGCTTTTAATGTGATGCCTCTCTTGTGACTGTAATGTTCTTACACAAAATTGTAGCAGTGCAGTCCATGTGGGTTTTGAAGAACATAAAGCAAGTCTTGATGCCACAGTTTGAAAAGCATCACTGTCCCCTCCTCTGCAGTGGCAGACCCTCAGGAGGGTTGGAGTGTGCCCAGCTGGGTGCATGTAGAGCTTCCAGAGCAGCCAAGCAGGGACTGAGGAGGGGCTGCTTGGGTTGCTCAGCACTTACATCATGTCCATCAGGGACTGTAAAGGGCCTTTATGAGGCTGCTCTTGATTTGTTGCAGGGTGGGCTTGGCGTATGATGTTTATGTATGCAAGTATTTCAAGACTCTGGCTTCAGTTTCTTTCTGTGTATAACAGCATGATCTGGATCTTAATCAGACCTTCAGCCCAAATGTCTCTGTCAGAAGAGCTGTTGATTACATGGTCCTTGATGGCAAAAAGAACCAGCTTCATCTGCTGTTGACCAAGAACGTCCCTAAAAATTTATGTTGCGTTCTCAAGAACAGAACCTGCCTTGTTTGCCAGATTGATTTGTAGGGAAATCTTTAGGTCATCTAACCAGTGGGTGAGGAGAGGGGATAGAGTGAGCCAGGGGGTTAAGCATGCATATAACTGTTTCCACCCAAAGCAGCTGCAGCCGTGCACTTCATGAGCCTGCTTGTGACTGCCTGGAAAGCCTGAGCTTCAGTGTGACCTCACTAAGGCAACTATTAGACCCATTATCTCACGAAGAGAAGTTATGAGAAGGAAAACACGCACACGCATGCTCACAG